CGTCGCGCCTACCCAGCTCCACGGCGAAGGTCGGACCGCCGGACTGGTCCACAAGGTTCCATCAGAACTCATCCATGTCAAGATCGGCGCAAAGATATAGATCGGTCGGAATACTTACGAGGACGACGACGTCTCTGGCGGCAATGGCGAGGATATCAGCACAGGATACAACACCCGGGCATTGCGCTTCCACCGCCTGCTTGGCCTTGATGACGGTGTCGAACCCGTCGCCGGCGAGCGAGAGGTTGTCGGGCGCGTCCTTCTCGGCGTCGCCTCTGGGTGAGGCTATAATGACCGACGCGTCGCAACCCTGCAAGCCATATCAGCATACATCTTCTTATCATCGGGAGCAGAAAGCCCATAAATGGAACATTGAAGCAACTTGCAGTACAACTCTTGGAGCTGACTCTGTGTTTTGAGAAGACAAATCCAGCTACTAGATTCAGGCAAGAAATATAACATAAGATCTATTCACTATCGGTTCTATGTCAATTTGATTGTATGAAATTTCAAGCGGCCCTCCTCCTAATGTTCTTCTTTTGGGTAATGTTGCAGATCTTAAGTCTCGATCACCTCAAATGAGAAACTCTACAGCATGCTTCAATGAGCTTGATGAAAGGTTTGGAAGCTTACCTCAACGAAACAATCATGGAAGAAGAGACGGAGGGTCGCCGGCACCGTGACGATCGTCTGATTCAGCTTCTTCAGAACAGCCCGCCTAACAATCGACTCCACATTGGGGCATGAAACCTGATAGAAGTTGGGATTCAGTTGTGCTTCTCCAGTCCTCAGCATCAACGCTAATCCCATCCAAGCAAGCAATAGCTTCCACAGCTCCATCCCTTATGCCTTCTCTTGATCCCCACCACCCTGCACCTGTATGTGGGCAACACAAGGAGGAAGATGGATCTTTGCAGGCTCTGCTATGCCAAAAGAACAAGAGCCACGAAGAGTGCAAGCTATATAGAGCCAATGGGGGTGATGGGGAAACGCAAAAGCCTTCCTTTACCATGTGCTTGTCCACTTTGTCCAAGAAGGCACTTGCTGTGGAGCAACACCACCATATTATTTAGCTTTGGGAGTTGCTGCCAGTCCAATAAGATCTCTACACGGCAATGTTTTATTTGTGTTTCCAGAGCTCGAGGCCAAAGTCCAAGCCTGCATCTTTATCTTGTGTAAGCTGAGCTGTGTTTGCCTGTTTACAGATGTGCTGAGGACTTGGTTGGATGCTGATAGAGGTGTACATAAATATATCTATTTAATGTCTTTGTGGGGTCACAGGATTGACTTGTGAATGTGATCACAACTTTTAACATTCCATGAGGCTAGCTGTCTTGACCTAATTGGCATCCACCCTCACATGCAGCAAGAAGAACAAGAAGTAATCAAATGCAAGTTAGTGTTGTGAGTTAAACATTCTCTTCTTTTTCTTCTGGCTGAGTGGAATCTGTTGTTGCTCTAATGATTAGGGTTTTGGGGACTTGTTTAGCAGTATCATCCCAGCAACTCTCAACCTTTCACAGTGAAACCTATATCATCAGGTGTGTTTTGTATAGATGAAGCCATTGGATCTGATAACTCTAATACCATACTGAATCCAGGATTGGGAAAATAGAATACTAGGTCTGCTGTTTCTTGATTTAACTTTGATCTCCTAGTCAACTTGCTAACTTAAACTAATCTGGAGATTTAATGCCCACATGCCTCCTATCTGTCTTGTGCAAGAGCATTTGCCATGGATTGAGGAAAAAAGTCAAAATGCTTTATGAATCATCTGTATCTTCTTGACTGCATTTGTGCCATGATTTGTGTGATTGTGATTGACATCTAACCAATTCTCTGGGGGAGTTTTGACACAATTCAGATGGAGATGTGATCTTATAACTGTCTTCATTCTTAATGGCCTTCCAAGCTTTAGATTCTTTGTCCAACAGCTGGAATTGCCCAATCTAAGACTCCAGCCACTCACAGGTGTAGTCTGACAATAACTTGTATTAGATTACAACTTGTTCAACACAAGTTCAAATTTGCTACAATGGGATGATGATGTTTAGGCTTGCATCTTCAAGCCAATTCTACTTAATCAAAATTAACCTATAAATTACATTGATAAAAGATAGAGTTTCAACTACAAATAAGATGAGGAAGAATCATTTAGGGTAGTATGCTCATAAATATTATGATTAAAATTTTACTAGAGACTCTAAAAAGTGTTCTGAATACTTTGATTTGATTAAAGATATTTCCTTAAATATCACTATTGTAAGACAACAGGATTATTTTCAGCTCAAATCAGTAATAAGGTGGTGATAATAAAAATGTAGTTAAACACTAAGATAGGTTGCCTTTTTTGCATTTCAGCACAAATATTCAGCTTGCATTGCAGACCACTTTTACCACCCAAACTTACTTCAGAAGCATACAGAATCAACAAAAAGTGTAGTTGACAAAGGTTCTTGTAAAATGCTCCACAACAAAGACAACCACCAAAAACTTATTCCTTGTGGTCAACATTGCATGATTGGAAAAGCTGAATTGTGTGGAAGAGAGTTAAGAAGCTACTACAAATACCAAGAACAATCAAATTCCCCTGTTATTTGATCAGGAATTGTTCAAACTAATGAACAGAAATACCATAATTAATTGATAAAGGAGTGTCTATTGAAGTGACAATGGACAAGTTGGGAGGAAGCAATTACTTTAGGGAGAAACTTACTGAACTCATATATCTCAAATCAACATGGTTCCTCTACTGATATAAAAAGAGATTGAATCTTGTTAACTGTAGTTGGATTTCTGATGGTTAACACACCATCAGAACCAATCTCCTTGACTGAGCACCCCCTCCCCCAACTCCACATCCTGTATGCAATAGCTCTTTGCTTGATCCCTTCAATTTTTCTTATCCAGTTTTAGTTTTGTTCACTCATTTTGCATGATAACTTACATTCTGGAATCAAACACAATGGATTAGCTTTTTTTTTTTCCAGATGTTTAGTTTTCTTATGATTTACATCTGTAGATTTCCAGCAAAAAATATTAACCTGTAAATAAAAGTGGGATGGCTACATGTAGTTTTCATCTTACACACATTAGCATTTCAATCTTTCTTGCCTCTACTTAATCTGCATTTAGATGGCTAAGACATGAACTCTATCATTTATGCTTTTTAGCTATCAATATTTGTAGATCCCAACACTCAACTCATCAGCTCATATTAAGGTGTGGCAATAGTCATGGAATTGTTTGGAAGGGTCCCAAAGGTGATCAGCTGAGCAAGTCAGCTCAATTTAGGTGCAGATATCTCATTATACTTATCCCTCTAAATTTGGGTGCAGCATATATTAACCTAAGAACTTGCATAAATATGCTAATTATTTTCATTTATTTGGCTGTTTAAAAAAGGATTTCAGAACTGCAGTTGAAACTATCACCAATTAAAATGATCATCAAAATATTTATGATGGTGAGAATATTAATGATATTTTAGATAATTTAAAATTTTAAATTTATTATAACTGGTTAACCATGGCTAATATAGTAATTCAATTAAGTTTTTTCGATGGATCTAGTGAAAATATTATATATGAATAATCTTGATATTTGGAGGGTTATATGTGCTAAATTAGAATTTGTAGAGTAAAAAACTAAAAATATATGTTGAATGAACCACAATGTACCAAGAACTGTGCATAATCAAGAAAAAAAAATATTTCCTTTTTTTATATATTAGGCTTTGGATCTTTTGATATTGCATATAGATTTCCCTATTTTTATTATTTATATAAACTTTCTTATAATCTTGTTTTTGTAGTATTGCTAGCTTCTACAAATCATCTTTATTTGAATATTTCTTAGTATTGCTACAGTATTATAGTAAACACTATAGCACTATAGTATGTTCCGTTCGGTAGCGAACGATCTATGTATTGATATACCATCGGACCGGTATGTACTGCTCGTACCAGATGATACTATTCAAAATTACATACCATATATAAAAGATTTATTCAAATCATTGTCAAGCCCACATAACCCATAATAATGTATACAAGCACACCCATTTATTTCCCTCAGCTAAGCTTGGCAAACATTTAACACAATAATATATTTTATAGTGATAATTAGGTTAATCAAATGGGTCAATTCATCATACCATATGTTTAATAAAATTAAAAATATGGATAATATTATTAATTATTTTTATAATATAGTTAAAAGAGAATGTAGGAACAGATCAAACATGCTAAGTGGACAAGAAAGTGAAAATAATATAGTTTTTTTTTATCTTAGTTATTATAATTAAAAAACTTATCTTTTAAAGTGGCAAACAATTTATCTAATCATCTGCACAGATCAAAAGTTTAGTTTCTGATTTTGAATTAACAACTCAATCCCATTCATATTTTATAACTATACTTTCAAGAATTTACAAAAGGTTAGAAAAATTAACCATGTAATCTTTTGTAAGAGGAAGGAAGAAGAGATTTATCCTTCCCTCGCAGCCATGCAGAGAAGGTGAAGATAGTGGGGAAAATTCCAACTCAGTTTTCTTAAACTGTGTGCAGCCAACCCATCGCACTTACCAAAGGTCAGTGACGATGGGAAACATCAAACAGGTGAAGGGAAGCACTTGCAGCTTTCCTGGGGATGACAGGATCTGTCAGTGAGGAAAACAGTATCCTCCACCACCATCCATCCTGCGCAAGCTGGACATGAATGGCCAACAGGAGAACACAGAAGGAAAGGAATAATTGTCCATGAGCCGAGGATGAGTGAGGATTTGATGTCATTTTCTTGGAGCTGGTTGGGTTATCTCCCAGCAACACTGAGCTACAAAACTCCCATTTTCAATGCAATTCTCAAACTTGTAGGCTAGTTTTGCATACTGTGATTGGTGTCAACCCTCTCTGTGCTTTCTCTTTCTGTGCATATGTGACATCATCTGTGAGGTATAAGAGGGGGAGAGGGGAGAGGGGAGAGGTGAGAGAGGACAGGATGTCTGGTTGTAAGCTGCCAAATGTGGATCCACTGCCACCAAGACCTTTGATTGCCTTACAAGAAGCAAAATCTTTCTGCTGGAAGCAATAATGGCAGAGGTTATAGAAGACAAGGAATACCAAAAAGGTTAGTGAGATGGGAAGGATTTTGCATGGCTACCATGAAGACTCAGTGAGGCAGTAACCAATAGAACTCTTGGGGGGAGAACAGTGGACAGTTAAAACTAAGGCAGAGAGTAAAAGCCTCAATTGCTGAAACCAGCAACTATTCAAGGCTTGTTCTCTCCTCTCAGCCCTCAGCCTTTTCTTCTCTGCTGCTGTCTATGTCCAAATTCCCAGATAAAACCCATACAAAACCCTCCACGTCCTCTCTGTTGTCTCTCAGCCAAAGAGAGAAACTGCTGAGTGTTCAGAATAAGAATTCGAGATGAGACTGTGAACCGGAAAAGTGGGAATCTTGGGTTTCATCTCTGTTCCGACGGTCTGTTCCTGATTGCCAAAGGTCTTTAACTCCAGTATATGGTGTTTCCTGCGCCAGAATTTGTGAGCCTTGTCCTCCGCACCCCCTCTCCTCGCCTCCATCTCCACAGCCAGGTCCCCAAAATCCAAGCTTTGTCTTGCCATGGATCGCAGAGACTCATCCAAGCAGCCACAAGAGGCCCCCAGGTTCCACCAGGCCCTGGGCCTCCGACAGGCAGAGAAAGGAGAAGCCACCACGGCCTCTGCAGCAGCAGAAAGCAGAGATCTTTTGCCTTCCACGGTCTCGGTGAAGGAGAGGTGGTCGCAGGTGGTGGCAGCAGAGGAGGATGAGCAAAGGAGGCAGCTTGCGCCGAAGAGGAGTTCCAACAAGGACAGGCACACGAAGGTGGAGGGCAGGGGGAGAAGGATCAGGATGCCTGCCCTGTGCGCCGCCAGGATCTTTCAGCTCACCAGGGAATTAGGCCACAAGTCCGACGGGGAGACCATCCAGTGGCTCCTCCAGCAGGCAGAGTCGTCCATCATCGCCGCCACAGGCACAGGCACCGTCCCGTCCTCGGCCCTCGCCTCCGCCGCCGTGGCTGGTTCCACGTCCCGCCCGGGCGCCTCCATCCCCGCCGGCCTCCACCGCAGGCTTGATGAGCTGGGACAGGCCCGGCCTAATTGGCCCATGCTGGCGGCCGCTAACTTCGGCCCGCCCCTCCCGGGCTTGTTGCTGCCGCCTGGTGTGCTCGATTCCGGATTCATGGCTTCCAGTTCGAGCTTTGGGACTGGCAATGGACCGATGGGCAGCTTCCTGCAGAGAGTTGGCATGCACGGGATGGACTTGCCTGGTGCCGACGTCGGTGCGATGAGCTTCGTGTCGATGCTGGCGCCGCACGGGCAGCAGTCGCCGGGACTGGAGTTGGGGCTCTCGCAGGATGGCCACGGTGGGGAGTTCCATCCGCAGGCCACGTACCAGTTGTTTCCGCAGATTGGGCGTGCAAGGGGCGGAGCAGGTTCCAGTGAAGGTGGGCAGTTGCGGCACCATCAGCAGCAGCAACAGCAGCAAGCTTTTCCAACACAGGATGATTCACAAGAGTGAGAACAATGACTGGAATTCTTGTAGAAAACTTTAGGAGATCAAAAGGATGGAACTTGCAATCTTAACCCAAAGAGATCAAAGTTTGTTTTCATTACCTCGATCTTTGAAGAGTTTTCCTTCTTGAATAACTTTGAATTAAATTGGGTTTTTCTGGGGGAAAAGAATGCATGCAGTGTTCTACTCAAATATGAAACTGCAGTAGTTAACCTTTGGACCTCAATATTCTTTTTGGTTGTGCAGAAGAAGTGTACTGTTGTTGGTGAATGTTATGTGTATATTCTATCTATTCTCTACTAACATAAACTGCAAATATAAGGTGGGAGTAGTGATAGAGAGGAACTACTACATGGAGAGTGAGAGAGAGGATATATCATGCAGAACTATGTTATGTGACAGGATTCTCTTGCTTATAACTTTCTTCAGTAAGAAGACTGATAAGAGAGGAACTACATGGAGAGTGAAGTTTCACTTTTGTAACCTCTAACCTACATGGATGGATGGATGGATGGATGATAATAGGTAAATATTCTCCCAGAATAGTAGCTGGGAGGTATGGTAATACTGTCAGCAGCAGTCAGAAGGCAAGACTAGTTTCACAACCAACATCAGTCCAAAATACCAGTCTGAGGGAATATTTCAGAGAAATATTTCATAAACTATTTTTCTTGATTAACATGGTATAAAATATTACTTTAGGCATGGTAATTGATGCTAGATACTATTCACAAAAATTACTCCACACTTATTGATTATTCACTTGACCATCGAAAAGATCATGTTGGAAACTCTATCCTATGTCGATCTTTGTATCGATCAACCATAAAACATGTGTTTGAGTCCTCCTTAATCCTTAAGCGGTCCCTCGTTGGACTTCTTACGTATATGGGCTCAAATTGAGTTGGGCTCATATAGGTATCATCAATATTTTTTCTATCACTTTGGTATTAGGAGGGATCATATCAAAAGAAGGTCATTCCATCAACCCACTTAACAAGCACTCTAGTGAGGGTACTCCACTTTCAACTTATAGGATGGCCAATGTGTTTTGAAGTATTCTTTACGATAATAAATATGACCAAAATGGCCTAAAGTATTCTATGACACCAGGATAAACAATATGGCCCAAAATACTTTTTACGAAGTCAGCATGGTCAACATGGCTCGAAGCACTATCTATGATGACAACGCAATCAACATGACCTGAAGCGCTCAATACGATGCAACACAAATGACATGGCCCAAACCATAGCCAAAATGGCATATGTTGCTCCTTACGATGATAGCATGATTGTATGGCCTAAAGTACTCTCTATAATGATAGCACGATCATAAATAACTCAAATCACTCCCTACGATGACAATACAGCTTACGCAACCCGAAACACTCTCTATGATAATAATATGTTGACACAACCCAAAGTACTCTCTACAACGACAACACGATCCAACAAAGCTTGAAGAGTGATCAAAATGGCTTGAAGCACCCCCTTCGACGACAGCATAGTCAACATAGCCTGAATGTGGTCAAAATGGCTTGAAACACTCCCTTCGATGATAGTACGATTAAAACGGCCTAAAGCATCCCAATATTTGATGCATCCTCTATGGACATAGGCTTTTGCAGTGCACGATTCATTATTTCTGGATAAAAGCATATGAAATGTGTGTTGTTTCATTCACAAATGAAAGCATCCTAACTTTCAATGTATTCTTTATGGATGTGAGTATCTCTAACGCGTGATACGTCTTTTGTAGACAAAAACATTCAAGGCATCTGACACATCCTCCATGGATATAAACATCTTACATGCATGATACATCATTCATAAATGAGAGCCTCTAAAACATCTAATACGTCCTTCACATAAATGATAGAGGAAATATTCTCCCCCAATAGTGGCTCAATACATGGTAGTAGAGTGAGAAAGATAAGACTTAGTCTACAACCAAGACACATGGACATAGTTTAGAGAATATCCCACTTGTACCAAGAAATGATAGGGTGAGAAATATTTTGAAAAATATTCTTCTTGGTTAATCCTCTATAAAAGGCTACCTTCGGCATAGTAACTAAGCTCAATTATTGTTCACTAAAATTACTTTACCCTTGTGAGTTTTTGACTTGAGCATCAGAATAACTATATCGGGAACTCCACCCGACCTTAGTTTTTCTACATGTTAGTCACAGAGCACATATTTGAACCCCCCTCAACCCCGGAGCATTTGAGTCTTCCCCTTTGTCATACATATATAGGCTCGAACTAAGATGGGTTGATCCAAACATCACTAATATTTTTTCTATCATATGATTATATTAAGGCATATTATTCAATCATAAGATATAAAAACATATATACAAGATTCAGAGGAAATAACCTCATTTTACATATAGACATTTACACATAAAAACTACAACCATCGAAATCTATAACTATAGAAGGATTATTCTGCATCATTGAATGTTATGGTTTATGACATTATGTGTTATGAAGAATTGTCTAAAAATTATCCCAATTCAAAGACCATATTTGAGAGGAGAATATTAGGTCTGTTAAGTTACTCCTTCAATATTATTTGGTTTAGATAATATTTTCTTATTTATAAATTATCAGAGAATTTCTATGATAAAAGGAAATTCTATACCCCAAAGTTAAACTCTCATTGCTACTCGTAAACTACTTCATTGACTATTAATTTGGACATTAGAGAGATCTAATCGGCTAGCTCCCAAGGTGGCTAAGTCGACCAGTGCCTAGGCACTCGACACGACTAGTTTGATTAGGCACTCGACACGACTAGGTTAGCCAACACCTGAGGTGCCAACTTGGCCAATGCCCAAGATAACTAGATGTGCCAAGCACCCACATGGTCACACACTCAACGCGACAAGGTCGACATTCAAGGCGGTTAGGTCAGCCAATGCTCGAGGTGGCCAAATCAATCAAGTAGCAAATGTGACCAGGTCGACCAGACCCAATGTGTGCAAACCAACTCGATGCCTAATGTAGGAAAGTAAGTCGAAGCAATTAGTGCAACGCCTCCTCCAACACACCAATCCCAAGCCAAGTGCGCAATTAGTGCAATGCCTCATCCAACACACCAATCCCGAGCCAAGTGTCGAAAGGCACTTGGCCTACTATTAACCAACATATCGAGTTAACACATAACTATACTTTTGGATCCCCTAATAGTGGCTTGATGCCTGATAGCATAGATGATCTAGTCCACAACTATGACACGTGAACATTAGTTCGTAATATCAGTCTAGAAAATATTATGTGTAATTATGATAGATTGAGGAGTATTTTTCTAAATATTTTTATCGATTAACCTATTATAAAAAGACTACATTAAGTATAGTAACGAAGATCAAATACTATTCACTAAAATTACTCTACCGTGGTTAGTTATTCACTCGAGTATCAAAGAAATCATGTTGAAAACTCTACCGTGGTTAGTTATTCACTTGAGCCCTTCTTAGCCCCTAAGCGAACATTCGAGTCAAAGCGAATTGGATAAATCTAAACATCACCGATATTTTTCGGTTATAGTTTAATCACAATATCCACAACAGATGACTCAACCTCACTCATGTAAATATGCAAGGATTGAATATTATAGTTTATAGCATTATATTAAGAAGAATTTATTATCTAGATTATCCCAATTTAAAAATCATAATCTAGAGAGGAATATTAGCTAAGTTAAGCTACTCCATCGCAGATTCAGATAATATTTTTCATAATCAAATGTTCAGATAATTTTAATCATAAAAGAGATTCTACAGTAATTTCTATCCCTAAACTACTTCAGTAATTTCTAATTTAAATGTTTAAGAATCTAATCGAGAATCTTTTCTAAACTCAGGTCTTTAAAGAGAGAGAGAGAGAGAGAGAGAGAGAGAGAGAGAGAGATCTTCCTGACAAACGTTTCTGGTTGCCTCGAACGAAGCCGTCGGTGATCAATAACCTCGATGAGGATCACCGACAACGGGAGCTTACAATAACCCTTCAAGAATTATGAAGACTGTCACAATAAAACAATTACAATAACTACATATGATGAGCAATCTGATGGCGGCATTAGATTTGTCAGGGAGCTTTCGTACCTCAATAATTCAAGGCTTTATATGTGATATTTCCAAGAAAATACATCATCTAGTTTTGACTTCCGACGTCTCTTTTAATCCAATAAAGGATAACTGTGATCAGAACAGAAGAAGGCATGACCATTTAGTTGAATTGAAGGAAGCTAACCGAGTTAAAGGAACATAATTGCACCAATCAAGGTTCAAGAACATAAGAAAATATCCACTGCTATTCCTGGAGATCAGAATTACCTATTGATATGATTAATGTTGTGTTAATTATTTATGAGTTATCTTTGAATTTATTGGGGATGTTTTACTTTTTCCCAAATCACATTTTAAGGCTTTAAAGTATACTTAGAAAATCATGTTTGAGATATTTTAGAGTTTGGGTATGCCAACTAACAAAAAGAGGACAGTAGCATCAAAAATCATATAATGTGCATTTCTAAAATATATATATATATAATTTAATTAATTTTATTTAGGTCGTAGAACATTTTGTGTGTATGTTTATAAAGGATTAATCTTCTTGAAATTTTTTATGAATTTTTAAGTATCTTAAAAAAAAGTTAGAGAAAATATTTAACTCGGGATCTCATAAATAATATTTTAATATATATATATATATATAATATAAATTATAAATATAGATTTTAAGATTAATATATGTGATATGTGTCCTCTTTTTCTTGCCTTTAAAATTAATTATCCTTTATTAATTTTAATTTCATTTTGACTTAAGTGGACATCTCTTACCGCCAACATTATTCTACTGCATAAATTCCATTGAGGCGTGGATAGATTCTTATAGGAACGTGCGCATATGGAGCCGACGCGTACGCCGTCGCTTCCCCTCTTTTGCCTCCGTCCCCTTGCTGTGCCCCTTACCCGGCGCTAGAGATCGTTTCTTCCATGGTGGCTCGGTGGTTCCGACCGCAGAGCACAAGGAATCGCAATCGAGTTTGATGCCCGGAATCGATTTGGCGGGGGAGGAGAGGGGAATATGGGAGCCGGAGCCGAAAAAGCCGATCTTTAGGGGCTTTTCGCCCCTTGAGCTCGGATCTGATCGCGGGGAGGGATGGGTTGCTTCCCGTGCTTCGAGTCGAGGCGGGGAGGGGTGTTGAATC